GTAAGAAAAAAGAATTTTTGGAAGATGAATGGAATTGTAACTTGGAGAAATGAGCTCTAGAATAGTAGTTTCAATAATACACTTTTTCTGCAATGTGTCGACGTGAATAGATTCAAGCATTTTCATCTATCAAAATGGTCTATCAAGTATCAAGAGAGATGTTGTCTCTGTATCTAAAACAAACTGATGAATTTTGATTGATTAAGCAGTCAAAACAAAACTAGATTTAAAAGACTACAAGAAGTGGATTTGGCATCTGGAGGAACGTATAGGAAAAGAAAGGAGGTCTTTGGTGAGATTCTAATTGACGTGGAAGCAGCTCGTTTAATTGGAAGCAAGGTCAAGATCTGGTCGATGATCTCATCTGGAAGGAAGCTAAGTGCATCTCCACAGCTAGATTCCACCTTTTCGCATCCATGACCATGAACGACGGTGAATCAACAAAAACTGACCTTTTTGCTCGAGCGGCGCGACACTTAACACAACTCTTGACGTCGGCCGTGGCTTACCCGAGCAAATCGACGTTCGGTGTCTTTAGATTGGGCCGGATAAATTAGCTATAGTGGGTTTAATTGAGTACATCGACATTGGGCCGGATAAATTAGCCCACCAACATATATTTTTTTCATTTAAAAGAGATCTGTTTTTCTTTTTTTCTTTTTTCCCTTAAAAGAGATCTGTTTTCTTTTATGAATTTAGGTGTTTAACTTAGAAATATATCCTATACTATTATTTGGGAAGTACACTTTATAAGATACCCTTAACTAACCTTCCCTTTTGTAAGAATTTACTTAAGAATGTCATTACAAAAATCTTCTTTTAGAACAAATTTCATTCAATTTATTAAGGATAAACAAGTAAAATACTAATGTATGTCATTTAATTAATTTAATTAAATTATAAAACGAAAATCTGTTATTATTATTTTTTTTAAATGACCAATCAAAATGAACATATAAGATTTGATATCTAACTTACCATATTAATTTGTTATTAATCATTAAACTTCACCTCTCATCTTGATATGATTATATTAATATGAAACAAATAAATCATCATATCATCTACATAATAAAAAAAAAGTAAATTTTTTTTTGTATATGCCAAGATTTGAATTTTTAAAAACGCATATAAATTGTTCAATCTATAAAGGAAATAATTATATTCGATTTCATACATTTATTTTTTTGAAATGTATAATTTTATATACTACAATAAAAATTTAAATATTTTAATTTGCAACATTTAAAATATGTTTTACTTGATATTTTTAGAGAATATCATCAATACTTAATAGTTCAAAAAGTTTTAAAATTATAAATACTCTAATTTGATTATTTTAAAAAATATTTATAATAGGTAGCAGGTTAAATATAATATATTATATAATGAAATGAGTTTTGATCCTTATAATTATTTGAATAGTTATATTTAATTTCATATAATTTGTTTTTTTGAAATTCATAATTTTACAAGCTACGAAAAAAATTTAAAGATTTTAATTTGGAATATTTTAAAATAGTGTAGAACATTTAAATATGGTTTGACAACTCTAAATATTTGAAAATTTGATTCCGCAAGCAATTTTAGAATTAACGAATAATAGATTGTGCATGCAATATTTTAAAATGAAATATTGAGATTCTAAAATAAAAATATAGACTCCACGCACGAGTTGATTTTGATATTATTATATACTAAATATATGTTTATAACATATTCGATTATGCGAATAATTGGTAAATTCCGTAATTATAAATCTCAAACAAATTCTGTAATTAGATTAGCTCAAACAAATCTCTATTTCAACAACCAAAGAATTACGATTTGAAAAAGAATTTTCTAAATTAATTCAAAATAATACCTAGTTTACTTAATTAATTCAGAATAATCTATGTTTTATATGCGATTTATTTATGATATTTTAATTTTTGATCTAACTGAAATATATGCAATCCTATTTTGTGGTTGTTAACATAAATTAACTCATTGTTCAAAAAATATTACTTTTTAAAAAATAAACTTATTTTCCGTTTTCATATCTTAAAAAAAAAATTATCCATAATTGAGTATTATAGAGAAAAAATTCTATATTTATTCTAATATTGTATATAGGGACTGACAAAAATATTACTCCCTCTGTTCCTAGAAGATTGATTTTCTAGAGATTTCACATTTCTTAAGAAACAATCATTGTTTAATTATTTACTTTTATTAAATATTTTTTAATAAACTATGAACCAATAGTAATCTGAAACAGTTAATCATTACGCCTTGAAATCTACGATTTACTAAAATCAATTAATTAAAAATAAAAAAAATCTAGAAAATCAATCTTTGTGGAACAAACTCAAAATACTAGAACATCAAACTTCAAGGAACGGAGGGAGTAATATTTTTTCACTTACTATTATAATATATTAAAAATTAGTTCTAATATATATATTATATAAATTTTGTAATAAATAAAATTTAACCCGTACTTTAATACGGGTGGTGATCTAGTTCGTAATTACATTTGTATAAAGTAGTTATGAATTTTTATATCAATCCCTAATAAATTAAATAAGTAAATCTTAGAAATTTAATAACAATTAAAAGGATTTAATGGTTGTAAATTTATTACTATCTCTTACAATGTTTTAAACCTTTTAAGACATACCAGTAATTTTGAATTTGTCAAAGGTCCAAAAAAATAAGAGCCGATAAAGAAGAGTCTTAAAAGAAGAATCCCAAATTACACTCCAGGTGATGCGCACATCAGTTTTCGTGCGCACACGCGGTGCACATTAGCCTCAACCAATAAAAATCGTCTCTCCCGTTCTCCGGCGACTCTTCGTCGTTAGCTTCCGTCATGGCCACATGGAGCGCTTCCTCTCCCACGGCGTCTCCTTGCTCATCCAGGCGACGGACGAAAGCTCCAGCGAGACGCCCTTCCTCCGAATCTCCACCACCGAGGAAGATGAAATCAATGGCTGAGATAATGGCGAAATCTGTCCCTGTGGTTGAACAAGAAGAAGAAGAAGACGAAGACAGCTACAGTGACGTCACCTGCGAGAAATGCGGCTCCGGAGAAGGAGACGATGAGCTTCTTCTCTGTGACAAATGCGATAGAGGGTTTCACATGAAATGCCTTAGACCGATCGTTGTTCGTGTCCCCATTGGACCTTGGCTTTGTGTCGATTGTTCCGACCAACGACCTGTAAGAAGTAGGGATTTTTATTTCTTCGCTTTTAAATTTTTGTGTTAAATTTCCTAATTTTCTCCTTTTTCTTATGTTCTTTGTTTTTTCAAAATTTTGGGATTCTTTTTCTTGTCCGGGTGAAATGTTTAGGGTTATCTCAGAAGAAGATTTTGCATTTCTTTCGGATTGAGAAGCAAACTCATCGAACAGACAAATTGGAATTGAGTCAAGGTATGATTTTTGTTTTTGGGTTTCATGATATGATCATAAAGTTCCTGACTTGATGAATTTGACGAGTTGTGTCACTTGATTAAACAGTTTAATGATTATGAAAGAACTTAACTTTGGCCAATAATATACTTTAAATTTGTATCAATTTGTTGCACCTCATGTCGGATGGATAAGCATTGATGAGAACTTACATATCATATACATAGATGCTTCATGATTAAACTAATAACAAGTGTATAAGATTGAGCAGAATCAGTTTTTAATGGCTTCATTTCTTTGTTTTGAAGAAGAAACTAGAAAGCGGAGACGATCTTGCTCTTTGACAGTGAAGAAGAGAAGGAGAAAACTCTTACCTTTGGTTCCATCAGAAGATCCTGATCGGAGGCTTGCACAAATGGGCACACTTGCTACTGCATTAACGGCATTGGGTATCAAATACAGTGACGGCTTAAATTATGTTCCCGGAATGGCTCCTCGGTCTGCAAATCAATCCAAGTTCGAGAAAGGTGGGATGCAGGTAATAAACAAAACAATCTTTCAGCCCTTGATCGATAACTTTCTTATTTAAGTTACTTCATTGATTGTTTTTCTCTGTTTTTTTTTATTTTTCGCAGGTGCTATCGAAAGAAGATTTAGAGACATTGGAACAATGTCAATCTATGTATAGACGAGGAGAATGCCCTCCTCTCGTTGTGGTATTCGATCCGCTTGAAGGGTATGTCTCTCGATTCATTCGATCAATCTTCCCTTGATGACAAAGTGGAGTTATGAACATGTTCTTTTGTTATGCCGTTTATACAGTTACACAGTTGAAGCAGATGGTCCTATTAAGGACTTAACATTCATAGCTGAATATACAGGGGATGTTGATTACTTAAAAAACCGAGAAAAAGACGATTGTGACAGCATCATGACTCTCCTTTTATCAGAAGATCCTTCAAAGACTCTTGTTATCTGTCCCGACAAGTTTGGAAACATATCTCGCTTCATTAATGGCATCAACAATCACAATCCGTAAGCAACAAATTCAAAACATTTCTTGTTTGTTTTTCCCCCGCAAAACTAGTTTATACCATTGAATCACCACATCACTGATTGTTGCAGGTTTGCTAAGAAGAAGCAGAACTGCAAATGCGTGAGGTATAGCATAAACGGTGAATGTCGAGTTCTTCTAGTGGCTACACGCGATATATCGAAGGGGGAAAGGCTCTATTATGACTACAATGGTTATGAACATGAGTATCCTACTCATCACTTCCTCTGATCTTTCAATTCTAACAGTTCTACAGAGTCTCTAGATCAGATGTTCTTTTTGTTGCCATATTACAGGTCAATTAGAAATGTCTGAATTATATGGCCGTTAAAAAGGTTATGCATTATTAATTATGAAGTTAGCGGTAGAATAATTGGATTTGGAATGGCAGGCATTATAGAGATTAAGGCAAATGTCAATGGCTGAACTTTTGTTTGATATCAAATGAAATCCTAACCTTTTTTATATGTTCTTGGAGAAAAACTTTACCAATTGCCAAATAAGTTTTACTTTCTTTTATACCCTTCTTCCTTCTAAATTTATCGAAATATTGGTTACAAAATACAGTCATTACTTAAACAAAAAAAAGTATAATTACAGTACTTGCCTACGTAATTCTTCTTTCACCGAAATGTATAATTATATATATTACCACCAGAAAATGCATATGCTATGAATTAAAGAAACAAACTCAAAATAGATGATGATCTCACAATTGTACTTTCGTTTCAGTATTGTGAAGAAAGCTTTTTCACTTTGACCACTTTGACTGAATTTTATCTTTGAAATTTAAAGTGGTGATGATAACATATTCAACGACTCTACAAGACAGAGAGCAAAATAGTACGAGAGGGAGATAGAGAGTGAGAGAGACGAGCAAGTTGAAGGAGCAAATCTTGTGGGTGAGAGCTTGAATCAGAAAATTTCTAACGAGAGAGATGGCTAGTAACCCTGATTTTCTTTGGTGCAAAGAAGAGAGGAAGCAGGAAAGCTTCGTCAAACTTCTTAAGCATTTCGACATGTCTTCAGAGAACACGGTAAACTATGTTCTAAACTCTTTAGGTTGTTGAATTAGCTTAGTCTGGAATGGTTAAACTTTTGGTTTCTTAAAGGTTTGAATCTTGATATATAGCTGCGTTTCAAAGGTAGAATCTTGTCGTTTACTGTCTTTATGGGTCTAGAAAAAGCTTTTGTTTTTCTCTTTTTAAGGAACTTTCTTCATGGTTTTGTTGTTTCTCTCAGTTCTCTGTCTGAATGTGAAGATCTATACTTTGTTTCTTCTGGATGAGATCTGTTCTCTGTTCTTTTTCACCTTCTTGTTTTGTTTGTCATTTGTGTGTTATGGGACTAATTTCTTGGTGAGATTTGAAAGTTTGGGCTCAAATTCTTCCTAGGATGTGTAAAAGCTCACTGATTTTTCACTGTTTTATATGAATATATCAGACATGTATCTTATATCTCTTCAACTTGTTTTGTATAACCAAAGCGAGCAATTCCTTACGACTTTGTGAGAAACTTCTCTGACAATGAGCTCTCCGGAAACATGAAGATAAGAGTGCAATGGGGAAACTCTTGGAAAGTAAAAATCTCCAAGAACCCGAGGTTCTACTTCATGGAGAAGTCTGGATGGGAGACGTTTGTGAGAGACAATGCCTTGGGAGACTACGAGTTTCTTACCTTCACTCACAAAGGAAAGATGAGCTTCACTGTGAACATCTTCAACAAAGATGGCAAGGAGATGATGCAACCTCCGCAATCCAGAGCCTTTTTGGCTTCTTCTAGTAAGATTTGATTCTCTGTTTATGAAACAGTGAACCGGATTAAAGACATTGATTCTTTACTTTTGATGATGAAACAGGTCGTATCAAAACAGAACAAGATGTCAAGAGGGAAGAGGTGTTGGTGTCTTCTGACTCGAGTTCTCGTGGCCCGACAACAGCAGCTGTATCTAATGGTAATGGAGAAGGCATGTACAAAAGGAAGCTCAACTTTGGGAAGAAGAAAGCTGAGGAAACCCAAAATTCCAAGAGGACTGAGAGAGTGGTTAGTAGGCAGAGAGTTTATGCAGGCGCACCTTCCTCTTCTGTTGCAGAATTCAACATCTTTATCTCGAAATCATACATAAAATCCCTGGTACGATAAGACCACTAACACACAGTTTCTGTATTAGCTTTTGTTTTTAAAAAAAACTGATATGTTAATGATTAATGAACACACTTGTATTGTTTTTTTTCAGGCGATCCCGACAACTTTTGCAAATGATTATATGCCGAAGGAGAAAACAATGGTCAAGATCCATCATCCAGATGGGAAGAAGTCATGGAATGTTGCTTTTGTGGTAAAAAAGAAGGGTCACATTTTCTCTGGTGGATGGAAATGTTTGTGTAGGGAGTATCCTGTTGTTTTTGGGGACACTTGCAAATTCACACTCATCAAACCATACGAGCTGCTTCTAGCTGTGTCAAGGCCCTAAGAGAGGAGACTCACTGATGATGATGGCTGTGAGTGTTGTCTTGGAGAACAAGCAACTGAATTAAACTACTCTTAGTTCAGTTTTAGTTTGGTATGTAAACTATTCTGTAGCTTTCATATGTTTAGGACCAATTTCAGTTTGTTTGGTGTTTCCGTGAGACCTTAATTTGCTTTCTCTTAGTTATTATATTCAGCAACCAAAATCTGTTGGAATTTTTTTGAGGCAGATTCCAAATTAGTTTAGAACAAAATTAGTCAAAAACCGGTTTGTGGAATATATATATATATATGGGCCGTTTTGTCCCAAAAAAAAAAGAGAGGATATATATGGGCCCAAATCCCAAGCCCATCAGACGCTTCACAGAGTTACAGTCTCTCCTCCTCCTTTAGGGTTCTTCTCTCTGATTAGTGATCACTTCTCCGACGCAGAAATGACCAAGTTCAGGAAGCTTGGCCGGCCGGCGGGTCATCGTATGTCCATGCTCAGGTTTCATATCCAGCTTCAATAGTTCCTTTTGCTACTACTTCGCACTTTCTTTTTCAATATAAATCGCTTGATTTTGAAGTGTTGGTGTTATCACTCTTGTTTATCAGGACTATGGTTTCTCAGTTAGTGAAGCACGAGCGTATTGAGACCACCGTCACTAAGGTATTGTACTGATTCTCTTTCTCCCATTTTCCGGGTTCCATTAGGGTTTATAGAATCTACCATTTTCCTACTTGTAACTCAATTTCATCAGATTTTGTGGAAAAAAAGATACTCTTTTATAGCAAATTTCGATTCTTGAGCTATTTTATACTCACTGTGGTGTTTAGTGATTGCAAATTTATATGCTAAAGAAACACTGGATTTTGCAGGCTAAAGAAGTTCGTCGTCTTGCTGATAATATGGTTCAGCTCGGCAAAGAGGTATTTTTGTTTCCATGATGTCTTTTGATATTATTGTCGACCTCAAATTCGATTATTGGTTGATAACATTTTTTAAGAATCTTGTGTATCACACTATGTGTGCCTAGCTTTTAAGCCATACTAAGTTCTTCTCATTTCTAATCAGTACTAGATGGTTTGTTCGAGGTGTTAGTTCGTTATGTATGATAGTTTTATCTTGGTGATGAAATTTATAGGGTACACTCGCTGCCGCAAGGAGAGCAGCTGGTTTTGTGAGAGGAGACGATGTCCTTCACAAGATTTTCACTGAATTAGCATATAGATACAAGTGAATCTCCAAATTCTTTTGGCATCAATTAACTGTCATTACCTAATTAAGTGCTTTGCATATAATTGGGATAAATATTATTTGTTACAGAGATAGAGCTGGTGGATACACAAGAATGCTACGTACTCGCATACGAGTTGGTGATGCTGCTCCAATGGCCTATATCGAGTAAAATTAGTTTCTCTTTTTCTTTATCAATTCTCCTGCTACTACATTCATGTTTCCATGTTAGATCAAATAAGAATTGTTAATGATCTGAAAGATTAATGTATTTGGAAGCTTTCTGTTGGAACTAATTTTGGTCGTTACTTGATACTTTGGATAGGTTTATTGACAGAGAGAACGAACTTAGGCAATCGAAACCGGCAACACCTCAACCACCACAACGAGTGCCGTTGGACCCATGGGAAAGATCTCGGCTCACCAAGCAGTTTGCTCCGCCTAAGGAGGAGAAAAGCTCTGATTCTGAGCTGTAATGTGGCATAATAAATTTCTCTCTGTCCACCAAATATCTTGTTTTTGTCTCAAAATGTAGTTTCGTGATCATTCATCATTTGCCAGAATATGTTTTCACAGAGGCAAACAATAAAGTTAGCTTATTTATTTGTTTGAACATTTAAAATGTAATCTACATTAACAGGCTTGGAGTTGCATTTTCTTTGCCTATTTACCTATGAGCTAATCTGTTAGTAAAAAAAGTTACTCTCTTTTTCTTGCTTCTACAAGATTAGGTTAGAGTTTGAGATGCTAATCTCCTGATGTGTGGCCCTATGATCGACAAAAAAACAGTAAAATCTATGTACCTAATGCATGGATCCATACCTACATAACTATCTTTAGGTGAACTACTTAACAGAACCTAAACCCTCAATTTGATTTTCCATTTGAAACCTACTCTTCTTTGAATTTAATGTTTTTTTTACCTGCCCTTTACCAGTTTCTGCAACCTCTATCATCCTCCTGACTTTTACAGCCAACTCTAAACCATTGAGATGGTGGATAATGATAATGATGATGATGATGTCTACTTCGTTGAAAACTTTTGGGGATTTCGTTTTCTTACAACAAATTCTGCTTTAACGTCAAGCAAAACGCAACTTGAGATCCTCCATACTCATTTATGATTTTAGATCAACACGCTATATATGGAATCATTGCCTGCATACATTTATAAGCAAAAAAGCTCCAAATTTTGAAACTTTATAGTTATACTTCAGTTAGTCCTAAGACTATGAACTCTCAATTGATATAACATGAATGCAATCTTTGCTTTTATGTTTAAAATACTTTATCGATTAAAGTACAATGAGAGGGTTTTCTTCTTTTAAAACATTCCTAAACATTTTATAGTCTTAAGATTAATTTAAGCAGACATCGAAGCCCACTCATCAGCCTGAATAAAGTTAGCCAGCGAATACACATGAACATGCTTATCCGGTATCTCACTGCTCCATGAAACCCTTTGTGACCTATCTGATCCCGGACCTGTGTTCTTAGATTCACCGTAATAAAGCGTCTTCAGCGCGAAATCCCCGCTCCACGGTAACCATCCATCAGGAGTAATCATAGCCTCTAAATTACAGCCTATAAACACAGTCCTTGAGTAATCTTTCCATGGCCTCCCCAAGAAGTTCTTATGTACCTTAGGATTAGCTTTAAACAGCTTCATGTACTCCTCTGTTCCGTTAATCAAACAGTTCAAAAACACGAAACCCGTGGACTGAGACGGGTCAATTCTTCCTTGGGCAGTGACTGCGTTTTTCTCGCCCTTTTCAGGATTAAGTTGACGCGGTGCAATCAAAATTTGGCAGTCTTGGAAGACAGCAGCTGAATTGCCAAAGATGAAGTCAACATTTCCTTGGATACGGCAGTTTTTGTAGAACTGACGAAGACCATGGGCATAGAGAGTGTCTTGGTTCCCAAGGAACTCACAATTCTCAAGCAGAGAAAAATCGCTGTCGGATCTAAACGCCACCGCTTGATGAGCGTCTGGTCCCGCCGTGTTCTGGAATGTTAGATCATGAGCCATAAATCCATCTCCTACCACTCCTATCAAAACAAAACATGCAAATCATATTTTAGCGATATAAATTTACTTTTGGCATTACTATTACAACAAACAAAAAAATTTGATTAATATGCTTATCACTTTGGCTTAGCTTTAAATATCCATCAAAAAAGTATTCTTTCACGTGACCAGACTTAAACCACATAAGCTACATCAAACTCTACTAAAATTTCAATTATGAACTTTCAACTCTTAATTTTTTTTTATAAAAAATAATGTTGCTTTAACATTAATTAGTACGAGAAAAACTCACCGACAGTTGCAGTGTTGTATGTAGTGATCCCAGGCATACCAGCGTTTAACGAACCTGTGATGACCGTTTTGCCCATACCGTCACCGATGAAAACTACGTTCTTCTTCTCAAACGGAACAATAACGTTCTCCTCGTACACTCCTTCGCTAATCCTTATAACGAACTTACGCATTCCGTTATCCTCCGGCGCGGCGTTAACGGCGTCTTGCACCGTCTTGTAACCGCATTTTCCGTCTTTACACACCGTCACGTCTTCTTTTAAACCGGAAGGAAAACCCAAATTAAGCCCTGTACTCGGATCCGAGCCCAAACCCGGCCCAGTCTTCTCCCAAAACCCGTCACGTTCCGTTTCTGGGTAAGTCCACGACGCGACGTTGTCTCCGAAGTTATCGTACGATACCATCATGCTAAGCGCGTTGCTGCTGACGTGGATAAGTCCGTCTAGAAACGACATCGTTTCACCGACTTGGCTCGTGTCGTTGACGTACTTGAGCGCTGACCATGAATCGTACTGGTACACTAGAGCAGCGCTCATCCAAGCTCGAGCGTCTTTGATTTTGCCACGTGTCAAAGCTTGATCCGTCGATTGAGTGCGGTGCTGGGAGTAAGTGAGAAGCTGAAGACACGTGTTCGCAGCGTTTGTACGGTTTAGATTTCCTACGGACGAGTCTACGATAGACTTGATTTTTGATTGGGCGGTTTTGAGGTTTTGGAATGAGATTGAGATCGCTGAGTGGATGATCTGGATTGGTTTAGGATCCGGAGGAACCCGACCCGGTTCGGATAGTGAAGAGACGCATTGGTCTGGGTAACGAGTTGCGTTACAAGCGAGACGGATCTGAGACGGCGAAGGATTGACCGGAGAAGTGTCGCCGGAGGGTGATTGGCGGGAATTGTGGTGGTGGTGGTGACGGGAGGAGGAGGAGGGAGAGGAGAATAGGAAGAGAGAGAAGAGAAGGATGAGAATGGAAGACATGGTGATGATTAAGAGACAGAAGCAGCGGATTGGGGATTTTCTGCGGTGAGGATGATGATGGAGTTTCGAAGAAGCCATTAGAGACGAATGTGTGTGTATATATATGTATAGGTGTGTGTGTGTGTGGAAATTAATTAAAAATTTTATGGAAAAAAATAAAATTGAAATAAAAATAGGGGAGAGATGGATTACAAGTCACAGACCATTAGAGAGTCACGGGCGGTGCGTAGTGGAACACTATGGGGATCATGCGCGCAGAGACGGAGAAGAGAGAGATTGGAGTTTTGTGAGTGTCTTTTTTTTCTCAATTACGGTTCTATTAGGGAAGATAAGGAGATTAGATTTGGATTGTCCGGTTCGGTCTCCGGTTATGTATTGGTTATTGTGTTTAGGTCTCACTCTGTTGATCTTGACTTGCGGTTGGTAATTGTTTGTTTTCTTTATGGTTTTTTTTCCTAATATCGAATTATTGATTTAGTTTTTGGATTTTTATTTTATACTATATGATTAATAATCTAAATTTAGTAACTATGCGGTTCCAAGCAGTAAATCTAGAATAATTGTTTAGAAATTAGAATAAATGTAGATTTGGTTAGGTATTATCTAGATTGGTATTAGACTATTAGCAAACACTATCACCAGTTTCAATATTTTATGTGTTTTCTGAAATTACAGATCTTTATA